TAGTACGACAACAATCACGACCCCAGTACGATGACTGTTACTAATACTTGTACTACGCCTCGTACTATTACTACTACTGCTTCTAATACAACTACTATTAAAATTACTGTTGCTACCACTGTCACTAATACTATGACTATGGCTACGCCAACTACTAGTACTATGAAAGGTTCCAAGTAACATTGCGGTTACTACTATTACTATTACTGCCAATTTTACCATTACTATTGCTATTACGCTTCCTCTTACGATGACAATTACTACTATCATTACCAGTGCTACTACGACCACGATCACTGTTACTATTACTCATACATACGATTAGTATTACTATGACCCGATCTTTTACTACTATTACTATTACTGGCACGATGAGTATGAACATTACTAGTATTACTAGTATTACTAGTACTACTACGACTACGACTACGATTACGATTACGATCACAAGTACTTCCAATTGTTCTAGAACTGTTACTATTACTATTACTTTGATGATTACAAACACTATTAGTAGTAGTATTGATACTACTACGATTACTAATACATACGATTGCTAATACTACCAAAGTTACTATTCGTAGTACTGCTACTACGACGACCACGATTACTATTTCGATTAATATTATTACGATTGCGATTACTCTTACACGACTGATACTATTACTCTTAGTATTACTTCTAGCATTCATAATACTCGTAGTATTACGATTACGAATACTACTGTTATTATTTTTACGTTTCCGAGTACTACTACGATTACCATTACTAATGAGATTACACATATTACTCTTACTAGCATTACGATTACTATTACTATTACTATCCTTGTTCTTTCTACCACAATAAAGGTGCACGTATGCTTTTCGCCGGGGTTGGCTTTCGCCGGGCTTCGTTTTGCCATGCTTCGTTTCGCCAGGCTTCGTTTCGCTGGGGTTGGTTTTCGCCGGGGTTGGCTTTCGCCGGGGTTGGCTTTCACCGGAGGGTGGCTTTCGCCGGGGTTGGCTTTCGCCGGGTTGGCTTTCGCCGAATTGACTTTCGCCGGGGTTGGCTTTCGCCGGGGTTGGCTTTCGCCGGGGTTGGCTTTCGACGGGGTTGGCTTTCGCTGGGGCCAGGCGGGGAGTAGGCGCGTCGCCGCTGGCGTGGCCGTCGCCGCCGCCGACGTCGTGACCCCCGGGAGCCCTTGAGGCGCGCCGCTTGCCCAGGCGAAAGGGGTGAAGAGACGTGTTGGGGGCTCAGGAAGGTGCCGGATGCTTTAGAATAGTTGACACATCGCCGACAGGTTGGCGATAAGCCCCCAGACAGGGACGCCGCGCGTTCCTGGGCAGGGCGGGGCGCTCTGGGACCAATCGGCGATGAATGGGTGATGGGGCATCTATGTCTCCTGTCCCCTCTGAGCAATTCTTCTGTTTCTCTTCGCCCCCGGAAGCGGCCGGCGGTCGTGGTGGCGGTCGCAGCTGGTGGGGGCATTGGCGGTGGTACTGGAAGCTGTGGCGGAAGGGGGCGCGCCGAGACCTCCGACGCCCAGGAAAAACAAAACGGTAAGTTTTGTGGGCCGGGGTCGGCCGCAGGGGTGGCCCTAGGACGCGCTGTCCTTGGGAACGACTGCGGACCCGAGGGAGCCGCCGGCGTGAATGAATTCGGAGACCATAACGGGCGGGTCGGGGCGGGCGGAACACTAAAAAATGGGTGCGCGCTCGATTGAGCACGCGTGGGCCCACGCGTGAACCCTAACGGGCGGGTCTGGTCGGGCGAGCGGACCCGAACGGGCGGGACGGGTCGGGTCGGGCCGCGCGGACACTAACGGGCGGGTCGGGTCGGGCGGGCGGGGGCACTAAAGTGTGGGTCACGCCCGAGCGACACGCGTAATCCCTAACGGGCGGGTCGGGTGGGGCAGGCGGACCCTAACGCGGGACGGTCGGGTCGGGTCGGGCGGACCTAACGGGCGGGTCGGGTCGGGCGGGCGGGACACTAAAGTGTGGGGCGCGCCGGAACGAGCACGCGTGAACTTCAACGGCGGGTCGGGTCGGTCGGGCGGACCCTAACGGGCGGGACGGGACGGGTCGGGTCAGACGGAGCCTGACGGGCGGGTCGGGTCGGGCGGGCGGGACACTAAAGTGTGGGGCGCGCCGGAACGAGCACGCGTGAACTTTCAACGGGCGGGTCGGGTCCGGTCGGGTCGGGTCGGGCGGACCCTAACGGGCGGGTCGGGTCGGGCGGGAGCGGGACACTAAAGTGTGGGGCGCGCCGGAACGAGCACGCGTGAACCCTAACGGGCGGGTCGGGTCGGGCGGGCGGACCCTAACGGGCGGGGCGGGTCGGGTCGGGTCGAGCAAACCCTAGCGGGCGGGTCGAGTCGGGCGGGCGGGACACGAAAGTGTGGGGGCACGCTCGAATGGGCACGCGTGAACCCTAACGGGCGGGTTGGGTCGGGCGGGCGGACCCTAACGGGCGGGTCGGGTCGGGCGGGCGGGCGGACCCTATAACGGGCGGGTCGGGTCGGGTCGAGCAAACCCTAGCGGGCGGGTCGGGTCGGGCGGGCGGGACACTACTATGTGCGGGCGCGATCGAGTGGGCACGCGGGAACCCTAACGCTCGTGTCCGGTCGGGCAGGCGGACCCTGACGGGCGGGTCGGGTCGGGTCGGGCGGACCCTAAGGGGCGAATCAAGTCAAGCGAGCGGGACACCAAAGTGTGGGGCGCGCTCGAGTGGGCACGCGTGATCCCTAACGGGCGGGTCTGGTCTGGCGTGCGGACCCTAGCGGGCGGGACGGGTCGGGTGGGGTCGGGCGGACCCTAACACTTGGGTCGGGTCGGGCGGGCGGGGCACTGAAGTGTGGGGCACGCCAGAGCGAGCACACGTGAACTCCAACAGGCAGGTCGGGCGGACCCTGACGGGCGGGATGGGTCGGGTCGGGTTGGGCGGACCCTAACGGGCGGGACGGGTCTGGCGGGCGGGACACTAAAGTGTGGGGTGCGCTCGAGTGGGCACGCGTGAACCCTAACGGGCGGGTCTGGTCGGGCGGGCGGACCCTAACGGGCGGGACGGGTCGGGTCGGGTCGGGCGGACCCTATCACGCGAGTCGGGTCGGGCGGGCGGGGCACTGAAGTGTGGGGCGCGCTCGACTCAGCACGCGCGAACGCTAACGGGCGGGTCGGGTCGGGCGGGCGGACCCTGACGGGCGGGACCACTACGACGACAACGACCACGACGAGGACGACGGCAACGACGGCGACCAGGAGGACGACGACGACAGCGACAACGGCGAGTACGACGACGACGACGAAGACGGCGACGACGACGACGACAACGGCTAAAACAATGACGACGACCACCACCACGACAATAACACAACGACGACGACGACGTCGACGACGTCGACGACGACGACTACGACTAGGAGGACGCCGAATACTACGACGACGACTCCCCGTCCTCCCGTTCCCCTCCTGGTCGCCCTCCTCAGTTCCCCTCGCGGTCTTGCCTTTCCTGTCCTCCTCCGGCCCGCGGCCCTCTTCCGGGATCCATGACCGTCACCCGCGCTCCTGATGGACGCGGGAACCCAAGCGAAAACGAGCCCAGGCGACAGCCAACCCTGGCGAAAACCAACCTGGGCGAAAGCCAACCCAGGCGAAAGCCAACCCGGGCGAAAGCCAACCCGGGCGAAAGCCAACCCGGGCGAAAGCCAACCGGGCGAAAGCCAACCCGGGCGAAAGCCAACCCGGGCGAAAGCCAACCTGGGCGAAAGCCAACCCGGGCGAAAGCCAACCGGGCGAAAGCAAACCCGGGCGAAACGAACCGGGCGAAACGCACCGGGCGAAAACCAACCCGGGCGAAAAACATCTACGCCAGTGGGGGGAATATTGTTGATAGTGGAATACTGGAGCGCATATGCACGTATCGGACGCGTCAGTGGGGCATTTCTCATGTCTTTATAACCATTGCATGCGTGGCCTGTTTGGCCCCAGAGGTGCGCTATGAAGGAACGAACAACCTACCGACGACCGACGACGAAAGCGACGATGACCGACAAAAACCGACCGACACGACCGACGACCGACGACGACGACGGACCAACCGATCGATCGAAGACCGACGACCAGACGGACCGACCGACCGACCGACCGACCGAGACGACGACGAAAGACGACGACGGACAGACCGACCGACAAACCAATGACCCACGACGGGACCGACCGACGGACCGACCGACCGAGTTGACGACGAACGACGACCGATCGACTAACCGACCGACGGACCGACCGACGACCGGACCGACCGACCGAGCGACCGACGACCAGACCGACCGACCGAGACATTACACGCGCTCCACGCTTGCGAACAAGCCCTGACGACCAAAAGGACCGACCGACCGACCGACCGAGACGACGACGACGACGAACGACGACGACGACGGACGGACCGACCGACACACCGACGACCCACGACAGGACCGACCAACGGACCGACCGACAGACCGAGACGACGACGAACGACGACCGACGACCGGACCGACCGACCGACCGACCGACCCGACCGACAGCGCCCATTTTTGACGAGGGGCGGTGGCTCCAGCGCCCCACGGCGTCGGTTCCAGCGCCCAATATTTACGAGGGATAATGGTTGCAGCGCCTCATGCCTTCAAGACAGATGGGTTCCAGCGCACACTCCCCCACCACCACTAACCCAGTCTTCTCCTGGTCAGCATTTTCACTACCAAATGACTCACCGAACTGTAGTGCTACGACCAATACTACTACGATTACTCTCACGGTTACCATCACGAGTATTAGTACGAGTATTGAGTAGCACCAGTACTGTTACTCTTACTATTCCTGATACTATCACGATTACGATCACTATAACGATCATGATTACCATTATTACAACTAAAACTGCGACTGGTAATAATACTGTTGACATTGGTATTATTGTTGTTGTTCCTCTTGTCGGAAGGCCGCCCCGTCGCCGATCCGCCCTTTTCGGCGCGCGCCGCCGGCATCCTCCCTCTTCGGCCGCGCTGCGCCCTTGAGGCCGCCCGCGCCCGCCCACCGCAACCCAGGCGCCCGGGCCGGGGCCGCGCAGGCGGCCTCCCTGCTGGCGGCCAGGGCGTGCAGCTTGAGCTCCTCCCGCTTGAAGCGTCCGCGCTCCCCGACGGTGGCCCTCTCGGGTAGCGCCAGCCTCCTCCCTCCTCCCTCCTCCTCCTCCTCCTCCTCCTCCTCCTCCTCCTCCTCCTCCTCCTCCTCCTCCTCCTCCTCCTCCCCTCCTCCTCCTCCTCCTCCTCCTCCTCCTCCGCCTCCTCCTCCTCCTCCTCCTCCTCCTCCTCCTCCTCCTCCCCCCCCTCCTCCTCCCCCTCCTCCTCCTCCCCTCCTCCCCTCCTCCTCCTCCTCCTCCTCCTCCTCCTCCTCCTCCTCCTCTCTCCTCCTCCTCCTCCTCCTCCTCCTCCTCCTCCTCCCCCTCCTCCTCGTCCTCCTCTGGAGCCTGGAGCCTGGAGCCTGGAGCCTGGAGCCTGGAGCCTGGAGCCTCGGAAAGGTCGATCCCGCAGCGAACCGCAAGAAAGCCTAGTCAGGGATATGTATCCTGGGAGGGGCTAGTGCACAGGGAACGGTCTACCAACAAACTCCTTGGTCGTCGGAATCTTCCCTGCTTCGAGTTGCTTGAGAGCCCTCCTACCCCATTCCCCAGGTCCTGACGGCGGGCAGCGGGCGGCCAGTCCTTTGGCCTGGCCTGTCGCGTACGCGCTGCACTTGTTGCAGTAGCACGTCTCGCCCGCCACCCACAATTTGTGGGGTGCGTGAGACCTACTTACAATCTTGGGCACCCCTGGGCACGGCTCGCAAGTTATCCTGTTCCGACGGCTAGACGATAACCCACAAGTCCTACAGCCCCAAAGGTCCCCTACCAGATGGACATGGTGCCCATTATCATGTTTCACGAGCCTACTAGTACACACGAGACAACCTCCAACTTTCATGGGGGGCTCGATTTGTGGCTTGCGAATTTGCGAAACGTCTGGGAAACCTGCACGGCTCAGTTGATACAGTGCACCACCCAGTAGACGAGTGAACTGCCTCGCGTACTCATCAGCACTCCTCAAGCGGTCCTGAAGATGTGAAATCCTGGGCTGTTGCATAGCACCTATCTTGGCATACTTATCAGCTATCGAGTTGCAAGGGAACCGCCGATCTGGATACCATTTATTTCTGAGCCACGCCCGAGTCTTATGCGACGGCATCAAGACGGCCTCCACGTTTTCACGACCGATATCCTCCAGCCTCCACAAAATCAGCTTCCAGATCTGGAGATAGGATTGGGCTGGGTCACACATGATTTCAGACCCTTTGTCCAGGCCCTTGACCAAGTTGTAGCGGTCAGTTACCACCGTGGCCGACGTGCCCATGAGGCACAAACACATGTAGAGCGCGCAGTGATCTGCCACACCTGCCGACTGAACTGGCCCAGGAACAGGCCCGGACGCAGCAGCTGACGCTACCCCCTGGGTCCAGGAGCCAAGAAAATTGATGCCCATCCTGAACGCGCCCTCCAGTCAACCACCGGGTCAAGCCCAGAGCCATCGACAAAAGTTTCGACCCCAAGGTGTCCTGAACATTCTGGCCTCCAAACATAACCTGCTTCTGGGCCCTGGAGGGGAAGCGGAAACCCATATCCTGCTAGAAGTAATTCCACGCTCCACGAGTGGACAATTTCCAGCCTCATGATAGATGGAGCGCAGCCCTTGAAATCCTCGGTCTCGCCGCCATGCAGCGAGTCCATCACAAGCATGTAATCTGTGTCCGATCGTTCCTGGCGCCTGGCGGCACCGAAGGCACGTTGGTTCCAGCTCATACCTCTCCGTGAACAGCTTCGCTTGAGTCCAGAGCCCACCAGAACAATGTGCCATCACTAAATCGGCCTGGATGTTCTCCCCCCGCCCTCTCACCCTGCGCAGCTTGTCCAGAACAGGTTCGAAGTGCGGGGTGTTGTCCCATCGCAAGTCTGTCGCTGCTTGTCGTTCTTGCTTGTGCCGCATCGCGCGGTGTGCCAGTGCTTTGAGCGCGCGAGCCCCCATGTTGGTGAGGTCCACGTGCAGGCCCTGAGGGCCCCTCCAGTGTGCGCAATCAATCACCGTCCAGCCGAGCCTTCCGAGCGTTTGCACTACTGCACCTGCTGGCCCCGTGACCGATGCCCATCCAAGATGAGCTGATGCCACCGCCGCTAAAAGGAAATGTCTTCACGAGGCTATCTGCGATCCACTGCTAGTGCAACGCCTGCAGCCACGTGATGAGCGGGAGGGCGTCGATGAGGTAGGAGGAGTCGAGATGGGGGGGGGGTCGGTGAGGAGATATTGCACAGCCCGAGACCTCCCCTTCGCTTTCCCGAACATCGCGTAGCCGGCAACAGCTCGGAGATCCGAAAGCCCAGAATCGTTCATTCCGAAGACCCCCACCCCATACGTCGCAGCCACGATGCCACCCCCCCGAAAGACTCTGGCGAGTCCTTTCTCATGATGCTTCAAAGACCTGAAACGGTTAGCTCGCCTCCGAACTCCCAAGACACGCCTCCGAAGGACAAATTTCTTCTTCCCCACCTGCCGGCCGAAGTCGCGACCTAAGTTCTTGACCGAGCCATAGGCCTTGAAACTGCACTTGGCCAGCGCTCTCTGGAGATTGGCGGCCAGCTGGCGGCAGGAGGCGACGAGCTGGCAATTCTTCCGCGAGACCGTGCCCATGGCCTCCAGCCTGGAACATCACTGAGGCACTGCTGCCGAGAGTGCGCATTCAACATGCCTCATGGAACCCATGGCTTCAATCGCAAGGTCGTCAACCAGCACAGCAAGCCCCAAAGAGGCCCACCGAGTTCTAGTTCTCAGTACTTCCACAGAGTCTTGCAACACCACTCTCAGCAACGTCGTTGCAAACGTACACCCAGCTACGATTGAACGCGCGATGCGAACTATATCCGAAACTACTTCTTTAATATTCACACACCTTGGCCCACCGTAGACCTTCAAAAGCAAGCGGGCGCGGCGAAGGTCAAAGTTGCGCTTAACACACGCATGCCATTGAACGTCGTGCGGAAGCTTTTCGTAGCACTTTCCCACGTCCACGAGAGCTGATGCAGACGACGTTCCTATTGCTCGCGATGTTTCTCCCACTGCTGCTCGTTGCCGCACCGCTCTCTCATGGCATTTTCCCTTGGCCCCGGAGACGCAATCTAGATGGCGCTCAGCTTCCCATTCGCTTGGACCTTGCCGTCTAACCTTACCTAAGACACGGATTGCTGTTGCAAGTACCCCAAGTGGCCGATATCCTCCATCCGATTTCTTCAGAAAGGCCAAGGGCGCATGGTCGCGCTGCCCCGGAATCAGGAGGCGCGACTCCACGCGAAAGAAACTGGCCATACGCTGCGAGCGCGTCGCCGCTCAAGAGCTCGAGCGAGGTCGGGCCCCGCCCGTCGATGCCAACCGCCGTGTTCTCCTTGAACTTCCCAAGGGCTCCCCTCACTTGGTCTGCCGCGGGCACTGGGGGGGGGGGGGGGGGCGGGCCTAGAGGCAGACCTAATTGCTCAGCAGTTAGAAGGGATGGTTCTCCTTCGTGCCAGATACTCTCCCATTCTTCGAGCGAGGCCTCTGTCATGCCAACTTGCCCAGCGGGCCCCCCTCGAAGCCAATTGGGATCTGGGGCCCAACCTAAAGGTTTCTTAGTATACTGATATACTGCACCTCCTCCTTTACTGATAGAGTCCTGCACCCACTGCCTCCAAACTCTAGTCCTAACCCTAGTCGCACAGGATTCGACAACCGCTGCAAGCCCCTGGACCTGGCGCCCGAGCTCGACCAAGTCGTCGAGGTCCACGTCCTCGCCTAAAACTATTCATGAATGAAAAAACCTGCCACCCTGGAGCAAAGGCAATATGAGGCTGGGCACTGCATATCTTACCGACGACGGCCTGGACCCCACGAGAGCCCCATCGAGGACCCTTCCTCCTCAGAAACCTCAGCTCCTCCAACCAGACGGCCATCTTGCGAAGGGCTCTAGAGGCTATCGTGCACCTTGGGCGCGGGCCCTCGACGCACTGCAAAACTCGCTGCGAAACGATGCGGCATCCAGCGCCTCTGCCGATGTGCGGGGCTCGATCTGCTTCCTTGCTGCCTAGCACGTCACAGAGCTCGAGCTCCATCATGCTGCACAAATCTGAATATATCACGTTAAACTCCGTGACCGTCGGCCACGAGTCGCAGTCCTGAAGCCTGGACGATAAAACTCAAATTCCATGGTGGAAGTCGGGGCCCTACTTCAGCTTCACCGGGTACCTCCTTGGGGAAAGGCTCCGGGAGCTTCAGGACCCGCTTAACCTGCTGATGAGCCTGAGCCCCCAAGACAAGCTCTACAGGGTAGTGGGTTTTGTTCTCCGGGTCCTGGATGCGCCTGCAGCTTCGTGCAGACCCCAAGAGATCGTGCGATACCACGAAAAAATCAAACTCCCTCCAGTTATTCCCGACTCTGCGAGCGGTTCATTGCCATATACGACCACTCCCATGAGTTTCGTAAAAAATCGAAACCTTCTGGACTTCGCTCGGAGTCGAGTTGAAATCAGCTGCGATGACGACGGGCTTCTGAGACGCAAACAAGAATCCACCCACATGGTTCAACATCTGCCTCCCTTTGAACCCCTCGACTCCTTCTCCATCAGGAAAATACATGCGAATCAGTAGAAACCACCTCTCTCTCACACACACACACACACATTGACCCAGACAGTAGAGCTGCGAGAGTGCAATACGTGCCTGTGATGCTCAACAGCTTCACCTACTCCAACATGATGCTGGACGACTACACCCGCACCTGCTGAGACACCATCTTGAGGAGTCCTAGCTGCGCCAGAGGGCCTAAGCTTCCAGCCTTCACTGGTCATCATCGACTCCTTCTGAGCAACACTCGCCTTCAAAACTTTGCATTCCTGTAAACACGCAGCATGCGCCCCATGAATGCAATCATCCGTCAATAGATGCATCGCCCCACTCCAACCCGAGGCATTGGCAGTGACGATCCTCCATGTAGCAGCAGGTCCGCCGTGAGCACGTCGTCCAGCTGGGCTAGGAATGCGACTTCGCCTCTGCGTCGCCGCTGGCCTTACCTTTCTGGTCGTTGGCCCCCTTGCCCGCGCCATTGGCCAAGAGTGTGGCCGCCTTGTGCCGCAGCGCCGAGCCTTGCTGGCCCTTGCCTGCTCCTGCACCGGCACATCCATCTCCCGATGCCGTTGGTGCCGAACTTGCTGTTGCCGTACCTCCTGCGGGAGCTTCCGCGCCCTCTTGCTGCCCTTGATCAGCGCCAGTTTTTCCCTAGTGCGTCGCTTCTTCCCAGCCAGTCGGGCCTTGAGGGCCTCTTGCTCTCGCTGGCACTCTTCTGCTTTTTGATTGACATTCCCAAAGAGCTCCTCTGCGAGGTCACCAAACTGGGTCTTAAGGCGGGCCTCCCTTTCACGAGCTTCTTTGAAGTCTGGTTCCGAGATGCCAATGTAATCCTTGAGTCCGAAATATTCCTTCACCACAGGACAGCTCCCAGTACTCATTGCCATTGAGGATGTCCTCGGGGTACAAGACTGGTTTGGCCTTCTCCTGCGGTTTGGCCACTGCGCCGTGCAGCTCAATGATTGCCTCCGTATATATCTCCTCTTGCTTGCCCAGGTTGCCGAGGGTCTCTTGGACAAGTTTGCCCTGCTCCTCAACCTTCTGGTGCAGCTCCTCCAAGACGGCCGTCTGCTTGAGCAAGTCCGCCTCGAGGCTCTGGATGAGGCGATGGCTCTGGTCTGCGCGGACCTGTGGGACCATCTCCGATCTGTCCTTGATGAGCAGGACATGTTGGTAATATTGTGCAAGATCATTGTTCTTCGATTTCTCGGCCAAGCTGAAGAGTATCTTAACCTCGTTGATGTCCAAGTCTGGTACTGGATCCTTTCCTCCCTGCAGCCCGACGGATAGTGGTGCCCCCATAGCAACGCCACCCAGGCCAGGAGGAGCATCAAGCGCATTGCCTTGGTGGTCCTTATCATTTCCTTTTCCCTTTCTTCTTGAGATCTCCCGTCTCCCAGTGCTTGCCAGTGTTTGCAGTGGGCCACCGATAACAGGTTCTTCGCACATCCACACCCCTGACAGCGCCAAGTAGATTGATTGCCATTCCACTGCGTGTAAGCAGTGGGTGCCATATTATGAATACGGTCTCGGCTCAGGTCCTGCACCACCTTGAGCCCAAACCCCAGGGAAGGCGAAGGCCCCAGGCAACGGCTTGAGCCAATGGCTACGGATCTCCTCCTCCTCCTCCTCCTCCTCCTCCTCCTCCTCCTCCTCCTCTTCCTCCTCCTCATCCTCATCCTCATCCTCCTCCTGGTCCTCCTCCTCCTCCTCATCCGCCTCCTCCTCCTCCTCCTCCTCCCTCTTCCTGCTCCTCCTGCTCCTCCTGCTCCTCCTGCACCTCCTCCTCCTCCTCCTCCTCTCCTCCTCCTCCTCCTCCTCCCTCCTCCTCCTCCTCCTCCTCCTCCTCCTCCTCCTCCTCTCCTCCTCCTCCTCCCCTCCTCCTCCTCTCCTCTCCTCCTCCTCCTCCTCCTCCTCCTCCTCCTCTCCTCCTCCTCCTCCTGCTCCTCCTCCTCCTCCTCACCTCCTCCTCCTCCTCCGACGACGACGACGACGACGACGACGACGACGACGCGCCTCTCCCACAGGAAGTCCTTCGGGAGGGTCCGGTAGCGGGGCCCCAGCAGCGCCATCAGCCCGCCGAGGCGCTCGACCATCTGCTCCGAGCCCGCGGCCGCAGGCGAGCGGGACGCCGCCGAGGATGACAGGGGGGGGCCCGAGTTGCAACCACCAGTCCAATCAATCCTCTCCTTCCTCCTCGTCCTCCCTCGTCCTCTTCCTCATCCTCCTCCGCCTCCTCCTATTCCACCTTCTCGTCTTACTATTATTGATCGTACCAGTGTGAGTATTACTAGCATTCGTGTTCTTATGAGTATGCTGATAAGTATTAGTACTAGTAAAACAAATAGTAGTAGTTGTAGTAGCAGTAGTAGTAGTCGTAGTCGTAGTCGTAGTCGTAGTCGTAGTCGTTCTCGTAGGCGTAATCGTAGTAGTAGTAGTAGTAGTAGTAGTAGTAGTAGTAGTAGTAGTAGTAGTAGTAGTAGTAGTAGTAGCCGTAGTAGTAGTAGTAGTAGTAGTAGTAGTAGCAGTTGTAGTTGTAGTTGTAGTTGTAGTTGTAGTTGTAGTTGTAGTAGTAGTAGTAGTAGTAGTAGTAGTAGTAGTAGTAGTAGTAGTAGTAGTAGTAGTAGTAGTAGTAGTAGTAGTAGTAGTAGTAGTAGTAGTAGTAGACGTAGTAGTAGTAGTAGTAGTAGTAGTAGTAGCCGTAGTAGTAGTAGTAGTAGTAGTAGTAGTAGCAGTTGTAGTTGTAGTAGTAGTAGTAGTAGTAGTAGTAGTAGTAGTAGTAGTAGTAGTAGTAGTAGTAGTAGACGTAGTAGTAGTAGAAGTAGTCTTAGTATGAGTATTCAGACTCGTATGCCTATGTTTAGTCTTATCAATACGACAATCGATCATACGATTCCTCTTCCTGGTGCTGTTTTTGAAAATTACTATCCGTATTCGAATTCTTCTTAGCTGTATTATTAGCGTGATTACTAGAATTACTAAAGCTATACGTATGGATATTGTTTATATAGTTTTAGTATGAGTCGTCTTCGCGATGTCCTTCTACTTATCATGGAATTAATGGTTAATAGTTTATTGTGTTGGTAGAGTATTGTTATTACGATTAGTATGAGTGATACTTATGGTAGAAGTATGCTGCGTGCTCATATTATGAGTACTAGCATTGGTCTCCTTATGCTTATCATTATTATTTTTACTGTTCGCATTACTTCAAGAATTATGACAGTCAGTGTTCGTGATATGATTCTTCCTCGTACTAGTATTATTAGTGGTAGTCTCGTTCTACAAGTGGTAGTGGTAGTATTATTATCATTACTGTTGTGTGCAGTAATTCGCCTGTGCCTTCTTAATAGATTCGTCTTCGTCGTCTTCTTAATACTATTCGTGTGTGTCCTCTTCTTCTTCTTCGTAATTTTGCTCGTCGTAGTATTACTTGTAATACTATGATTTGTCCTCCTGGTCCTCCTCCCTCTCCTGTTCTTCTTCACCACCTTATTCATCTTCATATAAGTATGTTTCTTCTGAGTAGTCTTCGTATTCTTCTTCCTTCTCCTCCTCCTCCTTCTCCTCCACCCCCTAGTCCCCATCCTCGCCCTCCTCCTCCTGCTCCTCCTCCTGCTCCTCCTCCTTCTCTCCTTCTTCCTCCTCCTCCACCAACTCCACCTCCTCATCCTCCTCCTCCTCCAACTCCTCCTCCTCCCCTATCATCATCATCATCATCATCATCAGCATCATCATCATCATCATCATCATCATCATCATCATCATCATCATCATCAGCATCATCAACATCATCATCAGCATCATCATCAGCAGCAGCATCCTGATCAGCATCATCATCATCAGCATCAGCACCATCATCATCCTCATCAGCATCATCATCCTCAACAACAGCATCAGCATTATCAGATGTATCAGTATCCTCAGCAGCATCATCATTATCAGCATCAGCAACATCAACAGCAACATCAGCATCATCGTCATCATCATCAGCATCATCATCAACATCATCATCGTCATCGTCAGAATCAGTATCAGCATCATCATCAGCATCATCAACATCGTCATCAGCAGCAGCAGCATCATCTTCAGCATCATCAGCAGCATCGGCATCATCGTCATCATCATCATCATCAGCAGCAGCCGCATCAGCATCAGCATCATCACCATCAGCAGCCGCATTATCATCAGCAGCAGCATCATCATGAGCATCATCATCAGCATCATGATCATCGTCATCCTCCTCCTCCTCCTCCTCCTCCTCCTCCTCCTCATCATCATCATCATCATCATCATCATCATCATCATCATCATCATCATCATCATCATCATCTGATCCTCACCCTCATCCCCAGAATCATCAGCAGCAGCATGATCATCGTCATCGTCATCATCAGCAGCAGCATCAGCAGCAGCACCGCCAGTGTCCAGTGACAGGGTCGTACTCGTCATGATCACCCATTTCAGCCTTGCCATTATCAGAATCATCCTCTCTCTCTCTCCTTCGTTATCCCTCATCCACCTCCCTCATACTCATCCTCCTCGTCCTCCTGATCCTCATTCTCACCGTCACCACCACCACCACCACCGTCATCATCAGCAACAACACCATCCTCCTGCTGCTCCTCCTCCTCATCCCATCCCTCCCCCCCCCTCTCTTCCATCATCCCTCCCTTCTACTCCCTCCCCCCCTGTCCCTCCTCCTTCCCTCCCTCCTTTCCCTCCTCCCTCCCTCCCCATCCCCCTCCCCCCTGCTCCTCCTCTGTCCTCCCTCGTATCCTCTCCTCCCCCCCTCCCTCCGTCCCCCCCTCCCTCCCCCTTGGGCCCTCGGCCTGGGCTGGCGGGCGGAGCACTGACCCCCCGAGGGGGAGCCGTGGATCTCCAGGGAGAGCAGCAGCCCCTCCAGGTCGTCGCTGGCCTTTTCAGGGGCGGCCAGAGCACACGAGGGGCAGCAGGGAGGGGAGGGAGGGGGACAGGAGGGATGCAGGAGGAGGGGGAGGAGGAGGAGGCGGAGGAGGAGGGGGAGGGGAGAAGAGGAGGAATGAGGGAGGCGGGAGCAGGAAGAAGAGGAGGCGGAGGAATGGAGGAGGAGAGAGGAGGAGGAGGAGGAGGAGGAGGAGGAGGAGGAGGAGGAGGCGGAGGCGGAGAGGAGGAGGAGGAGAGGAGGGGGAGGGAGAGGAAGGAAGGGGAGGAGGCAAGAGGGGGAGGAGAAGAGGGAGGGAGGGAGAGGGGGAGGGAGGGAGGAAGGAGGGGAGAGAACTGGGCGGCTGGGAGCAGCAGCGGCGGCGGCGCCAGGCGGAGGAGCCCCGGCGGCGGCGCCAGGCCGCCCCTGGAGCCTTCCGGAGCCAGCGGGGGTGCCGGCATGGGCCAGGAGAGACCAGGAGGCTCCAAGGTGGGAGAGGTGGAAGGAGGATGGGGGGGATGAGGAAAAGGAGGAGGGCTAGAGGAGGAGGAAAAGAAGGACGATGATGATGATGATGATGATGATGATGATGATGATGATGATGATGATGATGATGATGATGATGATGATGATGATGATGATGATGATGATGATGATGATGATGACTCAGCTTAAGCAGGCGTCAACGCTTTAGCTGGGCAGAATTACTCAGATGTGCTCGAAACCAATAGAAGTTCAATCGGCTTCTGTGTGTGTATGAATACCAGATGTGAATCGTAGCCATTGTGCTGCCATGTCTTCCCATGTTTCCCCCTGCCTTGCATGCTGTCGCGAAGAAAAATTCTCCCATATCCACACGTGGAAAAGAGTCAAACTTTGGAAAGCCACCCGCCCTCCATCCGTGAAGTTCGTGTCAGATGTTCGGGCGAACGCGGCGCGAAGGCGAAAACCACCTTGTGAAAACGACCCGCCCTCCATCCGCGAAACGATTGCGAACTTGTAAGACGAATGCGCGCGGCGCTACAGCGAGAGCCACCTGTTGAAATCCAACCGCCCTCCATCCGTGAAACTGCTGCAACGTCTCAAGTTAAGGATGGTAGATGGTAGAGGAGATTCAAGAGAAACGCCCAGCCAGCCCTACCGACACGTTTCGGGGTGCGACAGGGAGGAATCGTTATAAGGGAAACCGATGAAAAAGGAGGGCATCAGAAAAGAACGCCTGAAGTTAGGAGTCCCCCCGAAGGAAATGGATTGATTGGGGAGGTGGCAGGAGCAGGGAGGAGAGAGAGGGAAGAAAAGAAGAAGAGGAGCAAGGACGGAGGAGGGAGGGAGGGGAAGGGGAAGAGGGAGAAGGAGGGAGAAGGGAGGTGGAGGACGAGTGATGGAGGAAGGGGGAAAGGGGAGGGAGGGAGCAGGCACGTCCGCGCGCGGTCCGCAGACGCTGAGGCGTGGCGGGGCGCACAAGAGAGCCAGGCGGGAAGACGTACGCCCACCACGAGCTTGGAAGATCTGCAGCCATCAGCCCAAAGAGAGAGAGAGAGAGAGAAACAAAAAAAAAAAAAAAAAAAACGAGAGAGGGAGAGAGACAACAAAACAACAAAACAACAGGAATTCTGCCATCTTCGGCATGCGATTCGCATCGCATTACCAATCCAAACCAGAAGGGAAGACGCCCACAGTGCCTACAAAGGAGCCGTGGCCCCCGCTGCGCGCTCTCCCTCCAAGCAATCCAAAACATACCAATACCTCTACTCCGCAGACCTCTTCCAGGGCGCGTTCTGACTGGGAGGAGGAGGAGGAGGCGGAGGAGGAGGAGGGAGGAAGAGGCGGAGGAAGGAGGAGGAGGAGGCGGAGGGAGGAGGAGGAGGAGGCGGAGGAGGGGAGGAGGAGGAGGAGAGAGGAGGCTGAGGAGGAGGAGGAGGATTAGGAGAGGGAGGAGGGAGAGGAGGAGGAGGGGGGAGGGAGGAGAGGAGAGGAGGGAGAGGAGGAGGAAGGGGAGGAAGGAGGAGGAGGAGGAGGGGAGGGAGGAGGAGGAGGAGGAGGGAGACTGCAGGAGGGGAGCGGAGAGGTGGAGGAGGGAGGGGAGGAGGAGGAGGAGGAGGAGGCGCACGCACTGCATGCAGCCGAGAGGTCCGGGAGGAGGCCGCCGCGGGGCGGCCTGCCCGGCGCTGCCCGCGCCGCTCTCCGCCGAGGCGCCGCTGCCGTCGCTGGCGGCGTCGTCGGCGCCGTCGAAGCCCGCGTGCTCGGGCAGGACGGGGGCGGCC